TCTAGTATCAACAATGACCATTCCCAAACTGAGATTTACTGAGAGCCGAAAATAATGACCAGGACAAATACCTTCTAATAATACTGGCCTCCATTATGGTTATGATGATCACCCCTTTTCAGGCATAAAACATTACAAGGACTCTTATTTTCTCATGACAGCAGCAGCCTTTCAGGGAGGATGTGGTTGGGTGCTACTTTTCTAATATTTCCATTTTATAGAGGAAGATATAGAGGCTCAAAGGAATGAAGTGACTTATCTGATAAGAGGGATTAGCAGATCTAATAATAGAATTCATGTTGGCTACTTCTGAGGCAAATAAGTATTTTCTTTTTCTCAATATCTCTGCTGTGGAAAACTTTTACCCTTTTGACCAAACACTAAAGACAACAGCTCAACGTGGTATCTATTTTCTTTCATGGACTGAATTTCTGATTTGAGACTCATATGTGAAAGTGCTGGATTTGCCTGTTGCATTGTTCAGGGAGCAAGTGTAAGACTCTATATCAAATCTACAGTCTGTATAGATTTGCAGCAACAGAGGTAACAAGGGAAACACATCAAGGCAGCCATTTCTCTCTTGGTTTATCAGAACTCAATATTGAAGGTTTTGAACATTTTTATGTGTCTGTGATTCATAATGAGAGAACATACATCATAAACACCATGGAGACCCTTAGGGAACATAAGTATTTATCATGTGACATAAATTAAAGGAACAGGAAGGCCTTGAGTCCCTGCTTTGCCATGTGTGAGCTTGTATAACTTGGACAAGTTTTTAAATCTATCTCAATCTTAGTTTTCTCTTTTAGAATTTGGTAACATTAGCTATTTTGGCTAATCTGGAGGTTGTTGAGTGCATCAAATAAGATTTTGATTTTAAAATTTGTTATGATGTGTAGATCATTTAACAATGTTAATAAAAAGAGCATAAATGGAGAGGAATAAATGAGGAGGAGCCAGGCTAATAAACCAATTACAAAATTCACTGAAAGAAGTGTAAATATCACACAGGAAGAACAATTTATAGCAATGAGGAGACTGGAACTCCAGTTCTCACTCTGAAGTTTTACTGTCATTGGGCACTCAGATTAATTAACTATTAGATAAGTTCATTGATAGACTAGGTGTAAATGAGATCATCTTCCCATCCCACTGGCTTGAGGGACTGAAAAACAATGCTCTCTTCTTAGAAATAGAAAATAAGAATATCCCATAATAATCATCAGTTTATATGTCAGTCTTGGTCCACTACACATCCTGAGGTCAGGGAATGTATTCCGTATATTATTGTAAGCCTTAGAATTAGCACACTACCTGATATACCATAAACACTTACTTAGCACTTGAAGAAAGAACAAATGTTAGATGAATAAATGGACAGATTCCAGCTTTCTATGTGGCTTAATGATTAGTGTTACTAAAAAATTATGTTCCTTTTAACTGTAGAAGGATTTTTTGGGGAGACGGAAGGGAGAGGAAGTTAACTGTAAACATTTGTGGATATAGTTATTGTCATTCAACCAGGATTCAGAAAGATGGGTTATCTGCTCAAATTCACACTAGCTAATAAGTATATTTGATTCCCAAGACCATGATTTTTAATTCCCCACATTGGCTCAGAATGGCATTCAATACATCAGTCAGTCATGAATAAGGCAATATAATGAGTAACTTTTTTGTGTCCAGGGCTGGGGTAGGCAGTTTAGATTATACATAAAATATTAAGGGAGAATTTCTTAATGATTAAGCGCTCGGGCTTTGGTTCAAAATGACATGGCTTCACATTCCAGTTCTATTATTTCCTAGCTTTATGGACATCAGTGTATAAATCATTCTCAGGAAACTTCAGTTTCCCCACACATGAAATGGGCATAGTATCTCACATGGTTGCGTGATAAATTAATGGAAGTATAGCATGAATGTGGTGGCCCCAAAATAACAAGTACACAATAAATCCTAGCTGTCATAGTTTAAGTCACTATTAAAGTTCTGATATCCACTTATACAATATTGATCATCTATATGTAAAGATGAAGATTAAATTAGATAAAGCAAATTATTGTGAGTAACAAAGTGATAAATGGTTGTCTACAGATTATGATGGCAAGCCAGTGTCTAAAGAGGAACAGCTACTAAAGACTTCAAGGAAGCTTTGAAACTTGTGTTATTCTTTAAAGAATAAATGAGATTTGTACTGAGGGCACAAAGCTTCTTGTCAGGAAATTTCCCTTTTTAATTATTTCCTGAGCACCAATTACATGGTGGTCTAATCCATAAAAAGTTCCCCATCTTGGAACAAAGAGTGATAAGAGGTCCGCAAATGCTTCAAAGACCAAATTAATTTATTCTTATCAATAGATTAATTTGATCTCAAGAATGACCCTCAAACTAGTGTTTTTCCCCAGAAAAATGTTATATTAAGATCCACTTCTCCACCGTGGAGAAGAGAGATGGTAAAAAAAAAAAAACCATGCTTTTCAGTTCATTGTTTTTTCCAGGTTTAAGACTGTCTATAATTCCGTGTGTTGATTGAGATAAATAGTTTGATAAGAGACCAAGAAGTTTCCCTAGTCACTCTGCTCTGGATAATACTGCCTCTCCAGTGCCCTCCACACCACCAATAGCAGGAGTATAGAGGGAGCAGAGAACTCTGCATGCTTCTATCAAAGACCCTCGCCTTCCCTTTCCCACTCCGAACCTCATAGCCTGGTTGTCATTGGCCACCTGGAGGCCTTAAGACTAATCTCATTGTTCTAATTATAGCTTTGTCACTCATCGTGAAACTGAGAATCTCAGATAAGCCCTCAAACCCTACTAAATATTATCCATATCTCTTTATTTCCTTTTTTCATCTCCAAACTCAGTCCTACCCAAACTGTAGAAAACTTTCCACAGTGCCCTCTGGAATTTATAGTCAGTCATCAACATAACCAACAATATACACTTAATTTTTCCTCTGAAAGTTCCCTTTACCTATTTGGTATAACTGAAATCCATGTTCTGGGATAGTGTTTCCCTTGAAATCACCTCAAGTGGTAGCAATTTTCTCTCCCACTTTCCTTTTAACACTGTATTGCCTCATGTTCTTGACTTTGTTGACTGTATAATACTCCGATTTTTTTTTTTCTCCAAACTCTTTCCTTTGGTGATGTTATTTAGTCTTGTGAATTTAATATGATATATATTTGTTGAAAAATTAGAAATTGCCAATAGACTTCAAATTAATATAATCTAATGCTGCCTGTCCTCTCCTCTGAACTCTAAACTTGTATATTCTGGTGTTTATGCAACATTTCTACTTGAATGGTAAAAAGAATCTCAAACCCAGCATGACTAACCTGCAATGGCCTCTCTTGGTTTTTTTTTCAAACGCCTGCTGCTTCTACATCATCCCTTCTATCACTATACAAAAAAATGGAGTCATCATTCTTCTCTCTTTCTCTAATGCCCTCTATTCAATATATCAGGAAATCCAGCCAACTCTACTTTTGAAATATATCCAGAATTGGATAATTTATCATTACATCTCATATATTAATGAGGTTAACACAAAGGAACACGCAATGGGTGAGATCACAGGATCCCAGTTTTTCTTTTTTTTTAATTTATTGTTTATTGCAGTAACATTGGTTTATGACATTGTAAAAATTTCAGGTGTACATCATTGTACTTCTATTTCTGCATAGATTACATCATGTTCACCACCAAAATACTAATTACAACCCATCAGCACACACATGTACCGAATTATCCCTTTCACCAGAGGGGAAGGGGGGAGGGAGGATCCCAGTTTTCATCCTAACATGGAAGCCGTCCTTAACATCACCTATGATTTGGATCGCTAGATAGAGCCTGTCACTCTTTTCAAAAACTGTACATTAAACTAGATTTTAGATATAACATTATCTACATTTAAATAATGTGTTTAAAGTGTCAGACAATATTATCTCCATTTTAACAGCTGGTGCAACTGAGACCCAGACACATTAGTTAATAATCAAGGTGATTCAGCAAATAAATGGATTCTTACTTGACATAGCTGGACTAGTCACTATATAGGTAGAAGAAGAATATCGTGTGAAAAATAGAAGGAAGATATGGAAGGAATATGAGAGTGGAAGGAATTTGGGACAAAGGCAAATGGAATGGGTGAGGACATAGGACATTAGATTTCACACTTATCTGGAATCCCTCTGTTACAGCATCCACTTCTCAAATCCGTTCACAGATCAATCACTCTGCCCTAGTCATAACGTGTGAGAACTTACAATGTCCGTTTGTGTGGTCAATCCAGTTCGATGATGACTTCAAGGGAAAATTGATCGCCAAGTAATATTGAGCAATACCCAACGACAGTCATCCAGTATATGGTGGAGCCAAAGTTTGCATCCAGATATCTCTAGTCTCGACTCATACTTTTAACTTTTATTCTCTAGATGACTTTACTCCTGTATATGATTTTCTATAGTATCCCACTGTGTGGTAATTACACATTCTATGTATCTTATTCTCCTGTAAGATATTGAAGGCTAGAACATGATATATAAAACTATCTTTTGCTAACATATAATACTAAGCTTGATACAATGGAGATTATGGCAAAAGTGGTGATTCAAGTGAAATGAATTAAATTAGGCTAAATCTACTTTATTACGTGGATATTTTTTGTTAATGTTTGAAAATCTGAATTGAGAGGCTAACATAAACCCATCAGGAACAATCCTGTCATTTTGCATATCGTTCCATCTCTGCACTCTAGTTTAATAACTTATGAAGTTAGAAGAATGGGTTATATTATATCCAAAATACTTTGGGTTAGGACCATCTATAGTCTATCATTTTTTTAAAATTACATTTTGTTGTTATTCGCCTGTTAAATTCAGAGAATACTGATATAAGTTATATATTGGACATAATGATGGCTCTAATCACAATTACTATCCAGATCCTCTTTTCTCGTTGCTATAGGGCCTTCACATAATCCACAAATGACCCCAATGGAGAACAGTACAGAGGTGACTGAATTCATTCTTATAGGGATAACTGATGACGCAGAACTGCAGATCCCACTCTTTATAATGTTCACTCTCATCTACCTCATCACTGTGATTGGGAACTTGGGGATGATCATGTTGATCCTGCTGGACTCTCGTCTCCACATTCCCATGTACTTCTTCCTTAGTAATCTCTCTCTGGCGGACTTTGGTTACTCCACAGCTGTCACTCCCAAAGTGATAGCTGGATTCCTTATAGGAAACAAAGTCATTTCCTACAATGCATGTGCTGCTCAAATATTCTTTTTTGCAGTCTTTCTCATTGTAGAAAATTTTCTCTTGGCCTCAATGGCCTATGACCGCCATGCAGCAGTGTGTAAACCACTACTTTATACCACCATCATGACAACAAAAGTGTGTGCATGTCTAGTCATAGGCTGCTACGTCTGTGCTTTCCTGGATGCCTCCATCCTCACTGGGGACACATTCAGTCTCTCTTTCTGTAGGTCCAATGTGATTGATCACTTTTTCTGTGATGTTCCTTCTCTCCTGGCTCTCTCATGCTCAGACAACTACAATAGTGAGATGGCTGTATTTGTTTTGGTGGGCATCAACGTCATCTTTTCTGTCCTGGTCATCTTGATCTCTTACCTGTTTATATTTATCATCATCCTGAGGATGCGCTCATATGAAGGAAGCCGGAAGGCCTTTTCCACCTGTGCTTCTCACCTCACTGCTGTCTCCATCTTTTATGGGACAGGTATCTTCATGTACTTACAGCCAAGCTCCAGCCATTCCATGGACACAGACAAAATGGCATCAGTGTTCTATGCCATAGTCATTCCCATGCTGAATCCACTTGTCTACAGCCTGAGGAACAAAGAGGTCAAGACTGCCTTTAAAAAGGCTGTGGGGAAGACTAAGTCTTCTATAGGATTCATATTTTAACTGTATAGAATCGACAATAAGACATTCATACAGTTCAGATCCATCTAGGGAAAATATTAACTTCGTAGGCTAGCAAGTTTATAAATTCCTGAAGTATTTTTCCCCGGTTCTCTATTCTGTCTACAAGTTGTCCTGACAAATATGAGATTTCAGGAATAATAGCTTAGGAAGAATCAACATGAACTTAGAATTCTTATTTTAAAATTTCTCCTTAATTATGTTTTACTACTTGTTTACATAATCATCCACACCCCTCTATGCACATTTATAGTTGCATATATAGATACGTACATGCCCACAGATACCTCATTCATGCAAAGCCCATGTAACTTGCATACCCATGAATGGACAGAGGAATGAGTTCAAGAGATAAATGGAATTATTCTATTTATATGATAATTTAAAACAATGATTTTGTTGTCTGATAATACATCCTTCAATATGAACTTACAAAATTTTAATAGAAATAAAAGTCCCTACTTGTGTGATTTTTTAATTTTATTTTTAAAAACTTTTTATATGAAAGTATTTCATTTTAACATACTTAAAATTGTTTCAAACATCCTCGGTATAGGTTTATTACTGCAAGTTTTTGTTTGTTTTGTTCCTTTTCAATGATTATTAATGTCATTATATGGGCATCTTTATTTAGCTCAATTTCCCACCTTTATTGACTCATTATCCAGAATCAATACCTTTATGTGGCAATTTTAATAAAGGAAGCAAACCAGAGTGAAAGAAAAGGGAAACAACAATAAAAGTGTATTTTCGTTCACTGAAATAAAAATAATAACATTTAATATTAAGGTAAGGCTTGACTCTTTGTCTTCAGATGCTCAGCCAAGGACACATTTCATATTCCTTCCTTCACATATACAGCCAGGTCGCCAACTTACAGGTCCACATTCACCTAAATTAGAGGTGGACCTGACTGTCCTTGTTGGTCTCTAAGAATTATCTAGCCTAGCTTTTATAATTTCAGTCTCTTAGCACACTAAGAATCATTCAGAGGTGTGATAACAATTATGAAGATGTCTTTTAAAAAGGAATATATTGGGCTGGCCTGATGGTGTAGTGCTTAAGTTTGCACACTCTGCTTCTGCAGCCTGGGGTTCATGGGCCCAGATTCCGGGTGTAGACCTACACCACTCATCAAGCCATGCTGTAGTGGTGACCCACATACAAAAAATAGAGGAAGATTGGCACAGATGTTAGCTCTTGGACAATCTTCCCAAGCAAAAAAGAGGAAGATTGGCAACAGACGTTAGCTCAGTGTCAATCTTCCTCACCAAAAAAAAAATAGGAAAATATTATCTTATTTTATTGAGTCTAAGAAAGATGTCTTTGAATTATCAATACTCTGCATATTGGTTATTCTTTGAATATCCCCTTCCCATCTAAATGAGTTAGAATACATTTAAAACACATATAAAAATATATTATTTTAAACCTTAGACTCCTATGTGGGAAGAGTGAAGTATACTTTGTTCCATGTGGTGTCTGGAAGCTAGCATTTAGGACTTCTGTGGTTTGACATGAAGTGCCTACACACCTTGTTATGACGTGGTAGAGATATTTAAATATATTGGACATATTCTTTAGAACCAAATGAAAGATCAAAGCAAGAAAACGTCTCTCCTCATAAGGAAATTTTTTCCTTTTGTAGAATCGGAACTGGGATCTCCAATCTCTCAAAGTTATTCTCATAAAATGCTAAAACGTGGGGAAGTTTATGTCCAAGATGGTGATATAAGAGTCTCCTGAACTTGCTTCTTCACATGGACACACTGAATCTACAGTTACACATTAGGTAATTTCCTCTGACAGAAATACAGAAATTAGCTGAGCAAGTCCTTCAAAAAAGTGAGAAGGAGAAAATATTCACATCATCCACATTGAAATGGATTTTGAGACACACTCTCATCTTTAACTCCCACCACCAGCATAGCGCCATAAAATCAGGAGGGAACTCTCAAATCCCAGCTTCTTCCTGAGGAGCAAAGCGTTTAAACCCCACATCTAGCACCCCAATTTTTAAGATTCCTTTCTGAGGGGCAGGTGCCCCAAGCACCTAGATTTGAAAGCCAAAGGAGCTTGCATCCACAAGACCCACTAGACTATAACAAGTAAAGAAACAGTTCTTAATGAGCTCATGAGGATTTGCGCTGGCTCTCCCCAAAGGGCTCAATACAGAGGGAGCAGGCAAAGAATGCTCATGTCCCAGGATGCCTATTTGCATACTTTAAAATCTGTTGCCTTGGGGCCGGCCCAGTGGAGCAAGCAGTTAAGTGCACGCACTGCGCTGCAGCGGCCCGGGGTTGCCGATTTGGATCCCGGAAGTGCACTGAAGCACTGCTTGTAGAGCCATACTGTGGCGCATCCCATACAAAGTAGAGGAAGATGGGCACAGATGTTAGCTCAGGGCCAATCTTCCTCAGCAAAAAGAGGATGATTGGCATCAGATGTTAGCTCAGGGCTGATCTTCCTCACTAGAGAAAAAGAAATCTGTTGCCTTAGGGTCAGTCTTCTAATTTAGTACACATCTAGGGCCTGACCTCAATCCTCCCTGGAGACCAGGGAAGCCAGCAGACACCACCTGCTCCCCTTTCTCTAGGCCACTACAAATCACCAATATCTCCCTAGAAGGTGCTCATACACATGTCCCGTGCTCCATATTTTGCAGCTACTGCCCAAGAAACAGACCCCTAGATTGCCTAGCTCTGATACCCAATGGTGCCTGCATTCACAAGTCCCACAGGAGTGTAGCAAAGAAACAGCTTTTAACCAGCTATCCTCCCAGGGCTCAGTGCACAGGGAACAGTTGGAAATGCACATCTCCCAGTCTTTCCCTGAAAGAGGTCTATTTACACACTTTAAAGGCTGCTTTCTTGGGGTCAGACTTCTAATTTAGCATGCATCTAGGAACTGACTGATTCTCCCCAGAGACTGGGGAAGCCAGCAGATACCACCTTTGCCTTCTCATTCAAGATAGCTACAAATTGCCAATATCTCCCTGGAAAGAGCTTGTACACACATTTGGTGCCCCAGTTATTGCAACTGCCACCCAAGGGACGAGCCCCTGGATCATCATGCATTCATGAGTCTCAAAGGACTGTAGCAAAAAAAGAAACAGTTATTAATGGGTGCAGGAGCACTCCCTCCCCCAACTATACACCTGAGTCTAGCACAAAGGGAGCAGGCAAAAAAACCCATCTCTCAGTTTCTACCTGGAAGTGCCCTGACTATATACTTTTCCAGCTACTGCCTGAAGGATTGGCTTCCGATAGGCCTGCATCTAGGTGCTGACTGAGATCCTCCCCTCTGAGACACTGACAGATTTTGGCACACCATCAGAAACAGGGAACCACTAAGAACAAAGAAGGCAGCTTGGGCGATCACAAAGGTTTGAAAGACAACCAGGAGGTCATGCTGGGCTGATTAATAAGGTTCCTCTTCTACGTGAGACCACTCAAAACAAGACTGGGAGAGACGGTTATTTTATTTTATGTGCAGGAAACAGCAAAGAAAGCCAAGAAAAATGAAGAAACAGAAGAGTATGTTCCAAACAATATTATAAGATAAAACTCCAGAAAAAGACCTTAATGAAATGGAGATAAGTGTTTTACCTGATAAAGAGTTCAAAATAATTTTCATAAAGATACTCACCACAGTCAGGAGAACCATGCATGAACAAAGTGAGAATTTCCACAAAAGGATAGAAAATATAAGAAAGTACCAAACAGAAATCACAGAGCTGAAGAATACAATAGCTGAACTGAAAAATTCAACTGAGGGGTTCATCTGCAGACTAGATCAAGCAGAAGAAAGGATAAGCAAACTCAAAGACTGAGCAGTGGAATTCATCCAATCAGAGGAGCAAAAAGAAAAAAGAATAAAAAAGAGTGAAGATAGCATAAGGGACTTGTGGGACACCATCAAGTGGACCAATATATACATTATAGGGGTCCCAGAAGGAAAAGAGAGAGAGAGAAGGGCAGAAAGCTTATTCAAAGCAGTAATAACAGAAAAATTCTCTAACCTGGGGAAACAGATGTCCAGATTAGGAAGCTCAGAGAGTTCCAATTAAGACACATCAAAAGAGCCCCACACTGGGACACATTATGATTAAATTGTCAAAAGTTAAAGACAAGGAGAGAATCCTAAAAGAATGAAGAGAAAAACAGCTTGTTACATACAAGATAAATTCCGTAAGACTATAAGCAGATTTTTCAGCAGAAACTTTGCAGGCCAGAAGAGAGTAGCGCAATAAATTCAAAGTGCTGCAAGAAAAAAACTGCCAACTCTACATAGCAAAGTTGTCCTTCAGAATTGAAGGATAGGTAGAGTTTTCTAGATAAGCAAAAGCTGAAGGAGTTGATCTCCACAGACCAGCCTACAAGTAATGTTAAACAGTCTTCTCAAGCTGAAACTCTGTATTTTTAGCCCCCACACTCCCCCACACACACGTCAGTTATCAGTGAAGTTGTTTTAAGTTGTTAAAACAGACAGTTACAAATACAAGATGTTTTATGTAAGCTTTATGGTAACCACAAAACAAAAGCCTATAGTAGATACACAAATGATGAAGAGGAAGGAATCTAAGCTTACCATTATAGAAAACCATCAAATCTCTAATAAAGAGACAAAGAGAAGAAAGGACTCACTGTTATTTTTTTTGACAATAATATTTAGTTGTTTTCTGGCTGCTTTTTAACTATTTTAATTGTTATTTTTATTGATGTTCTTAGGTGTATTTTAATTCTTTTATTGAGATAAAATTAACATAACATTGTCTAAGTTTAAGATATACAATGTGTTAATTTGATACATTTACATATTGCAATATGATTACCACTATAGCATTAGCTAACACTTCTATGAGGTCATATAATTATCATTCTTTCATTACCCTTTTGTGGTGAGGACGTTTAAGATCTAGTCTCTTAGCAACTTTGAAGTATATAATAGAGTTTATGAACTATAATCGCTATATGATGCAT